TTATAAATTAGTAGAGTAGTAAACATTGCTAATATGCGCCAATATCTGATTTTCCTGAGTACAAAAAGGATTGTATTTCCAAGGTCACTGCAAACGAAGTGTGATCATGGAGCTAGTGCTGACCAAAGAGATATGAATAAAAGTGACATGACTTTTGGTCAGGAGCATTTAAGAGCTAATGCATCGACTCTCAAGTTCCCTTCCATTTTCCTCAGAATTGTAGAAATGTGTGTAAATATAGATACCACAAGCTTGAAGCAGAATGGAATAAGCTCCTTTTTCAGGAAAACTGCCTTGCAGAATTTTTCTATCTAACAGTGAACGTTATGTGAATGAAAGGAAAATGTAGTCAACTGCTGAAATTTTGAAGTGAATTGCTACCACATTACAAACCTAGCCTAACCTGATAATACAGAGAGCATACAAAAAATAAATGAAGGCAAATTTACCCAGCCAGCTGGTTAGAAAGTTCTAATATACTGTTTCTTTATGTAAACATATGGCACACATGCCATATGTCTTCCACCACAGAAATTTTTTTTCAGGTGGTAGCTAGAAAATACATCTTTAAAGAACAATCCCCAGTGGAAATGTCATTTTCTTCCCATTTCATTGTTGAATGACTTTGAGGTGGTGATAAATTTTGTTTCAAGGAATGGAACAATGGCACCAGTTCTTTTCATAGCAAAATCTTTTTCAAATCAACATTGTAAGCAAAATGGCAGAAATATTTTAATTCAATCAAAAATATGTGAGACTTTTCATATGTATATCAACTGAAGTAGGGAATGATATTCCTGTGTTGAATGAACACATGTGACCAATGATAATTATTTCCCCCAAAATTGTTAGATTGAAATAGAATTTATATAAAACTTCACCTTTTTAAGCTACTCAGATCTATGAAATGTGACAAAAGTATATAGTCATGTAAGCACTGCTGCAATTAAGGTTTAAAATATTTTGATCGCTCAAAAAGTCTTCTCGTGCTCTTTCACAATCCACTCCCCCTCTCCCTAATCCCCAACCCCAGGTAATGCCTGATCCCTTTACTGTCCCTGTATTTTGTACTTTCAAGAATATAAAATAAATGCCATCCTATAGCATGCAGCCTTTTTAATATGGCTTCTTTATTCATAGAATAATGCTTTTTAGATTCAAGAGGATTATAGCAGGTGACAATAATTTGTTCCTTTTTGTCGCTGAGCAATATTCCACTGAATAGATATAGGTCAATGTGTTTATCCATTTGCCAGGTGATGTACATTGAGTTATTTTTAGTTTAGGGTAATTACGAATAAAGCTGTTATAAACATTTAAGTACATATATTTGGGTTACCATATAACTTTAGTTTTCTTGAGCAAATACCTAAGAGTACAATTGTTACATCATGTGGTTAGTATATGTTTAAATTTATTTTAAAAACTGTCACTTTTCCAAGCAGAATTTATGATTTTGCATCCCTAAGAGCAATGTTTGGGAATTCTATTTAGTCCATATTTTCACCAGAATTTCGAATTTTCAGTTTTTAATTGTTTTTGCTTATTGTTGTTGTTACTTGTGTATTTCAGTGGTATTAATTTGCGTGTATCTGTCATTGATCTGCTTAAATGCTTTTTGACAGCATTAGTTCTACTTTGGTAAAGTGTTTGTCCAAATATCTAGCCATTGTTGGTAGCAGATTTATTGCTATGTAAAGCATATATTATACAATTTGTCTATCTACAGTGTACAATTTAATTGTCTTTAGGATAGTCAGAGTTGTACAATAATCATCACAATTTTGGAAAATTTTCATTATCTCACAAAAGAAATCTTGTACATTTAGCCCTCACCCCAAATTAGCACCATGCCGCTGATTCTAAGCCATGATAAATCTACTTTCTATCTTCATATATTTGCCTATTTTTGACCATTGAATATATAGTTGAAGTGATAATATGTGGTCATTTGTGACTAGTTTCTTTCATTTAATGTTTTCCTTTTTAAAAAATTTTATTTTATTTATTTATTTATTTATTTATTGACAGGCAGAGTTAGTGAGAGACAGAGAGAAAGGTCTTCCTTTTCCGTTGGTTCACCCCCAAATGGCCGCTATGGCCGGTGCGCTGCACTGATCTGAAGCCAGGAGCCAGGTGCTTCCTCCTGGTCTCCCATGCAAGTGCAGGGCTCAAGCACTTGGGCCATCCTCCACTGCCTTCCCAGGCCACAGCAGAGAGCTGGACTGGAAGAGGAGCAACCGGGACAGAATCCAGCACCCCAACAGGGGCTAGAACCTGGGGTGTCGGCGCCACAGGCGAAGGATTAGCCAAGTGAGCCGCAGCGCCGGCCTTCATTTAATGTTTTCCAGATGCATTTATAGGAAAGCATGTGCAACTGCTTCATTGCTTTTTTATGGCTGAATAATATTCTTTTATATTAATATACCATATTTTATTTATTAGTTGAATGATAGTGGGGTTATTTTAACTTTTGGGCAATTATGAATAATGCTGCTATGAACATTCATGGACACATTTCTGTGTAGACATAATCTTTTCAATCCTCTTGTATAGATAGCTAGGAGTAGAGTGGTAATTCCATGTTTAACTTAATATGGAACTGCCAAATTGTTACTAAAGTGGCTTTACCATCTCACATCCCCAAAATGAATGAAGATGATTTTGTTTCTCATACATTTTTCTACAACACTTGTTCATTTTTCTTCCTTCCTTCCTTTTTTTTGTTATAGTCATAGCAGTTTTGATTTACATTTCCCTGATGTCTAACTATGCTGATCATCTTTTCATGTGTTTATTGGCCATTCGTTTCTCCTCTTTGGAGATATGCTTGTTAAAATCATTTACCCATTTGTTAAGGCTTTTAATTGCTGAGTTGTAAAAATTCTTTAGTTAAAAATCCCTTGTTAGATACATGATTTGCCAATATTTTCTCCCATTCTGTAGGTTGTTTTTCACTTTCTTGATAGTATTCTTTGAAGTACAGAAGTTTTTTTTTATTTGATAAATGCTAATTTATTTGCGATTGTGTAATTTATGCATTTGGTGTCATGTAAGAAATTGCTGGAGTTGGCGCTGTGGCACAGTAGTCTAAGCCTCTGCCTGTGGCACTGACAATTCCGTATGGGTGCCAGTTTGTGTCCTGGCTGCTCCTCTTCCAATCCAATTCTCTACTATGGCCTGGGAAAGCAGTGGAAGACAGCCCAAGTGCTTGGGCCCTGCACCCACGTGGGGGACCCAGAAGAATCTCCTGTCTCCTAGCTTTGGATCAGCCCAGCTCTGGCCATTGTGGCCATTTGGGGAGTGAACCAGCGGATGGAAGACCTTTTTCTCTGTCTCTCCCTCTCTCTGTCTGATAACTCTACCTCTCAAATAAATAAATAAATAAATAAAAAGAAATCATGCAGGTCATGAAGATGTGCCCGTAATTTTGCTTCTAAGAGTTTGAGTTTTGACTTTACATTTAGATCTTAGACACATTCTGAATCAATTATTCTGTATGATGGGAGATAAAGTTATGAATTTATTATTTTGCACATGGATATCCAGATGTCCTCGTGAGTAATTGATCCATCATCCACTTTTTCCCAGGTGCACTAGCAGGGAAAATTGGAAAACTGAAGTAGTTAGGGCTCAAACCTCTACTTTGATATGGGTTTCTGGCATCCCAAGGAACAGCTTAGTCTGCTGTGCCATAATCCTGGCTCCAATACTACCACACTGTTTTGATTACTGTAGATTTGTAGTAACTTTGGAATTAGTAATTATGAGATCTCTACTACATATTTTTTGTTTTAGCTAGGCAGGGTCTCTTGTGATTCCATATGAATTTTAGGATAGATTTCTCTTTCTGCCAAAAACATCATTGTGAGATTGTTAGAGATTGCACTCAATCTGAAGATTGATTTCTTTGAATAGAATGTACATCTTAATAGTATTAAAGTTCTGAAATTTAGCTACATGGACATATTTTGTTTATTTATGTCTTCTTTAATTTTGTCAGAGACAGTTTATAGTTTTTAGTGTACAGTATTTTGCCTCTTTGGTTAAATTTATTCTGAAGTGTTTTATTGTTTCTGCTGCTACTATAAGTGGAATTATTTTCCTAATTTACTTTTGGAATTGCTTGCTGTTAGCATACAGAAATGCAACTGATTTTTTTAAGATTTATTTTATTTTTATTTGAATGAGAGTTACAGAGAGAGGTAGAGACAGAGAGAGAGGTCTTCCATCCACTGGTTCACTCCCTAGATGGCCGCAATGGCCAGAGCTGCACCGATGTGAAGCCAGGAGCCAGGAGCTTCTTCCAGGTCTCCCAAGTGGTGCAGGGGCCCAAGGACTTGAACCATCCTCTACCACTTTCCCAGGCCATAGCAGAGAGCTGGATCAGAAGAGAAGCAGCCGGGACTAGAACTGGAGCCCATATGGGACGCCGGTGCTTTAGGCCAGGGTGTTAACCTGCTGCCCCACAGCGCCAGCCCCGCAACTGATATTTGAGTGTTGATTTTGTACTACCCAAATTTACTGAATGCGTTTATCAGCTTTAACAAGGTATTTTGTTTAATCTTGAGGAATTTCTTTATATAAGATCATATCATCAGCAAGTACAGAAAATTTTACTTCCTTTATTCTAATGTTTTGTTTGTTCTACTTAATACTTTTGGTTGAACACTGTAATCAATACACAGTTATTCTTAAGTGCTGAAACTTAACTGAAAAGTGATCGCTATTAAATATAAGAATGGGAATAAGAGAGGGAAGAGGTGTGCAATTCGGGACATGCTCAAGCTGACTTACCTCAAACGGTAGAGTTAGAGGAAGAATTTTTATTCTTTCACCCTTGAGCATTATGTCAGCAATAGATTTTTCATATATAGCCTTTCTTATGTTGAAATTATTTCCTTATATTCCTAGTATGAGGATTTTTTTTCAAATAATAAACATGTTTTTATTTCTGCTGTATCTCGTAAAATGGGAGCACTCCATAACTCAGTGCAGCCTTACTTCCAGGTAACTTCTTCATTAGGCCTCAATTCCCTTTTAAATAAAATACTCTTGTTCCGGAAGGCTGTTAGCTTTTCATTATTCTTTCTGTCTAGATAACATCCAAAGACAAAGCCCATAGGTACAAGTATGTGAACCCAGTGGTCACACACAATCTGAAGCAAGTTTGCCATGACTGCTGCGGCTCCAGCGCCCAGCACGACCCCACCACCAAGGACAGTGGCGCCAGTGGAAGCTGCGAGTATTGTTTTAAACATGAAAAACTGTTGAATTTTGTCAAATGCTTCTTATTTCTTATATATTTATATAAATGATAGGTGGCTTCCTCTCCCTTCATTCTGTTAACATGGTGTATATATTTTTAATGTTTAGTTTTTAACAAATTCAATGTAGTTCATAGCAATTCTAAGAATAAAATGATATTCCCTTCCTCCCTCCCTTATTTCTTTTCTTCTCTTTTCCTCTTTTCTTCGCTTCTTTCTTTCTTTTTTGAGATAACATTTTTAATTCACATAACAGTCAAAGGCTTAATGCTTCTCCAAATAAGAAGTTTAACAAGTACAAAACAAAAAGACCCTAGTTTGGTGGGAATATAGGCAAGTGCTATACATAATAATTGAATGGAAATATCACCATTTTACCCATATACAGTAAATTTTAAAGTAATCATAGATAACTGAACTTATAATAGTATAACATTCTTAACCACTGGTTTGGCAATGGCATAAAACAAAGATTTAGCCAATAATATTTATAGCAGTACTGATACTATATGCAGGCATTTCTTTTTCTGTTTTTTGTTTTTGATTTTTTTTCCCTTTTTTACATTTTTGGTTCCTATATATAAAGGAGAACATGCAGTATTTTGTCTTTCTGAGTTTGCCATACTTTACTCAATATGTTAATCTCTAGTTGCATCTATTTTGATGCAAATGGTAGAATTTCATTCATTCTTATAGCTGAATAATATTCTAATGTCTATATATGTACCACATTTTCTTTATCCACTCATCTGATAATGGATACCTTGGTTGATTGAGGAAGGGGAGAGAGGCCACACGGCTTCCCTTCCCTGAGCCCATTAATTGCTCAGACCCCAGCCAGGCCCCTAAGCTGTAGCAAAAGTCAGTCGGTGACATGCAATTCCCTCTCAGCTAAAGCTGTGGATGATGGGGCACATCAATCTCTTCCTATCTTGACTTGGCAAGATAGTGACTCATAGCCAGAGGCTGGCTATTCTGCGTGGCTGGCCATTGCAGTCTCTGTCCAGCAGTGTCTCTGTCCTCTCTCCTCTTGTCCCAAAAGTACTTGCTGTTTTATCACTTCCCCACTGACGATTTCTGTCATTCAGACACTAAGAAGTGTGGTCCTTCCTGCATTCATTTTGTATCCCAGAGCATCTGAAGTCAGTTTGGCTATATTCTATTCAGGCATCTTAGATTCTAACCTGGTGTAGCATTGATTGATTTTCCTATGTTGATCCATTCTTGAATTTCAGGAATAAATCTTGTTTGGTTATGGTGCTCAGTAATCTTGAGATGCTGCAATTTGGTTTATTTGCATTTTCCTAAGTATTTTTGAGTTAATATCCTATTGATATTGGCCTGTAGCTTTCTTTTCTTGTAACTTCATTTCTGGCTTTAGTCAGCATAATATTAGCTTCATGGAGTAATTTGTACATATTTTATACTCTTTCAGTTTTTAGAATTTAGAGAGGATTGGTATTCTTGAGACGTTTGGAAAAATTCATCAGTGAAGCTGTCTGATTCTGGAGTTTGTTAGGAGATGTTGAATGATGTTTCAATCTTTTTACAAGTATAGATCTATTCAGGTTTTCTATTTTTTCATGATTCAGTCATAATAGATGTTGTGTTCTAGGAAGTTATCCATTTTATCCATTTGATATAATTTGTTGACATATAGTGGTTCATGGAACTCTATTGTAATCTTTTTATTTCTGTAAAATTGATAGTGAGGGTTCCTCTTTCTTATCTGATATTAGTTGAATTTTCTCTTTTCTTTTAGTCATTTTAATCATAACAGTCAGTTTTGTTAATCTTTCCAAGGAACCAAATTTGTTTCCACTGATTACCTGCATTGTTTTTCTATTCTCTCTTTTATTTCTGCTCTAATCTTTATTATTTCCTTTATTCTGCTAATTTTGGATTTAGTTCTACTTTTTTGAGTTCCTTAACATATAGATTTTTAATTTGAGATCTGTATTCTTTTACTTTGAACATTTCTATAAATTCTCTCCTAGCCCTCATTTCTCAGCATCCCATATATTTTGGAACATTATGTTTGCATTTTCAATAGTTTGAAGATATTTATTAGTTTCCCTTGTGATTTCTTCTCTGGCCCGCTGGTTGCTGGAAAGTGTTTTTTTAATGCCTGCATATTTGTGAATTTTCCAATTTACTCTTGTATCAATTACTGGTTTCATTCCATTGTGCTCACAAAAGATACTTTATATGACTCTAGTCTTTTTTAATTTGTTGAGACTTGTGTTGTCTAACATATGATCTACCCTGCAGAAATTTCCATTTCTTGAGAAAAATGTATATTGTTATATTGTTTGGTGGTGTGTACTGTTTATGTCTATTAGGTCCAATTGGTCTATAGTTTTGTTCAAGTCCTCTGTTTCCTTATTAATCTTCTGTCTGTGCTGTATCCACTATTGAAAATAGGGTATTTCAGTCTCCTACTTCAATAGCTGTGTATTTCTCTTTTTAATTCTGCCAATGTTTGTTTTATATATTCAGAAACTGTGATTCTAATTTATTATATTTATATATTTATTTATATATTTATATTTATATATTTATATTTATATATTTATAATTTATTCCTTTATTTATATATTTATAATTTATATATTTATATTTATATATTTATATTTATATATTTATAATTTATTCTAATTTATTAATGAATTTACACTTTTATCAATGTATAATATCCTTCTTGTCTCTTGTAACAGGTAATCGCATAAAATCTAGTTTGTCTGAAATTAGCACAGCTACTCTTTTTCTTGTATATTACTAATTGCATGGAATATATTTTTTCTGTCCTTTAACTTTCAAAATATGTGAGCCTTTATTTCTGAGTGACTCTCTCATAGACAAGGAATACTTTGTGAAGCTTACGTGTTTTTTTTTTTATCAATTCTGCTGATGTATGTTTCATATTGGGGTGCATAATTTAACTAGTAGGGTATGACTTACTATTTCTATTTTGTTTTCTCTGTTTTATAAAATTTTTTATCCTTCATTCCTGCTCTTACTGCCTTCCTTTGTGTTTAGTCCACATTTTGTCACACATTTTGTTTCCCTTTCACTTAGTTTTTTTTTTTTATATTCTGTATATTTCAATTATGGTTACCATGGAGATTGTATCTGACTTCCTAAATTTGTAATAATCTAAATTGATGCCATAAAACTCTGCTCTTTTACAATCATATCCCACTTTGTGTTGTTAATGTAACAAATTATGTCTGTGAATTATGTCTTTTAACAGATTTTAATTATTATTTTGTGCTTTTGCATTTTAAATCATGTAAAAAATAAAAAGTGGAGTTATAAACCAAAATTATAATAAAATTTGTGTTTAAATTTGTATATTTATTTATCATTGACAGAGTACTTTATAATTTTATATATCTCTGGGCTACTGTCCAGTATCTTTTCACTTGAATTTAAAGGACTCCACTTAGTGCATTTAAAATATCCAGATTTTTCTTAATGTTTTTAACTTAACATATAACATTATATGTTTTTATAATGTACAATATGATATTTTGAAGAATATATGTTGTAGCATGCTTAAATCCAGCTAATTAACAAATGCATTGCCTTACATCATTATTATTTTTAAAATATTTATTTATTTATTTATTTGAAAGTCAGAGTTACACAGAGAGAGAAGGAGAGGCAGAGAGAGAGAGGTCTTCCATCTGCTGGTTCATTCCCTATATGGCCGAAGCTACGCCAATCCGAAGCCAGGAGCTTCTTCCGGATTGCCTATGTGGGTGCAGGGACCCAAGGACTTGAACCATCTTCCACTGCTTCCCAGGCCGCAGCAGAGAGCTGCATCAGAAGTGGAGCAGTAGGGACTCAAACTGGCGCCCATATAGGATGCCAACACTGCAGGCGGCGGCTTTACCCACTATACCACAGCACTGGCCCTCATCATTATTATGTTTATGGTGAGAGCATATAACATACCCTCTATTTTCATTTTTCAAGAATATGTTATATCATTATTAACCAGAGGCAAGTGTCTGTACAATGGACTTTCTGACATTTATTCCTCTTGTCAATAATTATGTATCCTTTGAAACATTATGCGCACGTGCACACACACTCACAACTGTGTCCATATACTTGGTGCACAGAGTGGCTCTCCATTCAGGCTATTGATCCTCCCTAATAACGTATAGCTGTACCTTGTTATGGGTGCTATGTTCACTGTGGAGGTAACAGCAGATGGATGTCTGTTGTTTTGATATAGCCTCATCCTTAAGCAGGTGCGATTTGCCTGAATCTCAAAGGTGGAGTTTTCTCAGCATCCCTGCCCCTCATCCTCATGGCAGGAAACAAAACTTCCCTTTCATTTGAGTGGGTTTTATTCAGGAGACAATATCCTGCCTGTCACCCAGTGGCAGGTGGCATCTAATGGTGTTGGCATATGATCCTGGGCCCAGAATTATTTCATGCTCCAGGAGAACATCGTTTTTCTTCTACACTTTCCTCACCACAGAAGAAAAGCCTTCCTGCCCTTTGCCTAATAGCCTAAAACTTTTGTTTCAATTAAGAATTGATAGTGACAATGGAAAAAATTGTCAAACTACTTTTTCAGGGCTCTAAAAATTAACAGAAGCCTTGCAGCAATCTGGGAAACATTTATTTACTCCAGAAAAACAGCTTCATCTCAGTGAGAAGAATGAGCGGGGCAGTAAATATAATTTAAGTGTTTTATTGAGGATGAAATGTTCTCATTATCAGAGCACTATTTTCCGCCTCTGAAAAATAAAGAACTGGCCCTAGAATGTACAACCTCTAACGGCAGTGTTCTATAACCAGTGATGCTATTTCTAATAGAATTACAGGGCATCCAGAGAGAAAGATTACACACATACACACACACACACACACTATATATATATATATATATATATAATGTCACTTGATATAGGCAGCTATTT